TAAGCGGACCCGTGGCGCGACTCATAAGGTCGTGGTCGGTGCCGAGGTGGAGGGTCGGATAGGCATCGTGTGCGCGCCTCTTGTGCGCACCGTGGCCCTGTGCCGGCTAACCCTCATCCAAGTGTACCTCGGTCATTCGACCCGCGCGGTGCTAGCGTCGCTCGTCGGATGTTGGGTGCAAGTGTTTCTCTTTCGCAGGCCCATGCTGTCGATTTTCACGCACGTCTACAACTTCCTGTCGTCGTTGTCGACGGAAGATGGGTTCGAATACGAGCTCCCCGTCTCCGTTCGCGACGAGCTGCTAGCCTGCACTTACCTGGCCTTTGTCGCCATTACCGACCTTCGCGCGGGCTACTCCCCCGAAGTGTTCGGCACGGACGCCTCCCTCGGCTGGGGGGGAGTGGTCCGCTCCTCGATCAGTCCACATCTCTCCCAAGAGTTGTGGCGCCGGTCTGAGCACGGAGGGTGGCACACGGTCCTCCACAACCGAAGTTTGCTTGCCGTGCTGGACCGGGGAGTCCCATTAGGCCCCGAGCTCACCCAGCTGCATCGCGATTTGGGGCTCCCTTCCATTGAGCCCCCAGTCGCGCCGCACTGGATAAGCGAACTGTCGGAAGCGCTGCACTTCCGCCTGGCCTATAAATGGGAATTTCGAATGCCGCGTCACATCAACATCCTGGAGGCCACTGTTTTCAAGAGTCTGTGCAAGTACTGCTGCGTTCGCATGCCGGACTCTCGGATCCCTGTGCTGCTCGATTCTAAGGTCGCCTTGGGCGCGGCCGCCCACGGTCGCAGCAGCTCTCCAGGGCTTTCCCATGTCCTCAGCACGGCTTTGCCTTACATCTTGAGCGGTGGCTTATACATGGGTGGCCTCTATGTGCCCACCGACGTCCACAGGGCGGATGACCCCACCAGGAATCGGCCTGTGCGCCCCCCCTCCAGGGAGGCTCCTGCGTGGCTGGTCGACGCTGAGGCGGGCGATTTCGGTAGGTTCGATTGGGTCGCACTTGCTGACGCGCATTCTCCCTACCCCACTTGCCTATGGGGACGGCTCGCCGCGCTAGTCCTAGCACAGGGGCTCCTTGCGCGGGGGAATGCCCGGGCCGCCCATGGTCTGGCGGCACGTCCCCCTCTCTCGCCCGCCCCCGCGGCCGACGCATGGTTTGCAAGCGCGGCCGCCGCAACTGGGGTCGAGGCGCCGGTTTTTCTCGAAGCTCCCGGCACGCTTCCGCAGCCCGACCCAGCGCAAGCCGAGGCTCCAGAGATTCCTAGGCGGAACGCCTCTCCCGCGGTGGGCGGCGGATGCCTCGGGGGAAGGAGCGCCGAAGGTGCCGCTGAGCTCTCCGCGCTTCCCCATGAAGCCTCCCAGGGCGCGTCGCCTTTCGAAGCGCCCTTCAGGCCGGGCGCGGCCCCCGTTGCCGCTGGCCCGCCCGGCGCGCCCGCCCAGCTTTCGGCGGCCAGGCCGAGGCTCGCCGCCCGGGCCGATCCCAAGCGACCCGCCAAGGTTGCAAAGGTGCGGACGGCGCGCGAGCTCCTTCAGCTCAAACCGGGTGCCGACCGGTCGGCCATGGAACGCCAGTTCCGGCGGTTGGCCACGCCGCACCGCCCGGACAGGGCGCGCCATCGCCCATTGTCCGCATCGGACCGCGCGGACGCCTCTCCCCTCTGGCCCAGGTTCTGCGACGCGAAGTCGCTCCTGCTTGGCGAGGCTTCTCGTTGCCAGCCGGGAGCGGGAACCCTACCTTGCCAGGAACGGGAGCACGGGACTTGCCGCGGAGGCGTTCGTGCGGGCCCGCGCCTATATGCAAGAGCGCGGCCGTGGCCAGACGGGCGCGCCGCCGGCGCCTGCCAGTGCTTGCAGCCCGAGCTGGGCGGAGCACGGCCGGATTTCGGGGCCTCCGCCTCTGGGACTCCCTCGGCGCCCTGCTCTTCGCGCGGAAGGCGCCATCGGCCAGCTCGTCCAGCGGAAACGGTTCGCGCTGAGCGCCCCCGTCGTGCGCGCGCTGCTCGTGCGCCCGCGGCGCTGCTCTCGGCGCCTGGCGCGGCCGCGCCGCCCCCGGGTCGTAGGGCCAGGCGCACTGCCAATTTCGCGCTGTGGGGCCAGCCTTGCGCGCGCCATCGCGCCGCCGCGTCGGCGGACGAGGGGCGTGAGCCTTTGCCTTCGCGCTCCTGGAGCCCGGGCCTTGGAGCAGGCGCGCCCGGTGCCCCCTCCAGCAGCGCCCGGCTCGGCAGCACCTCGAAGTGGCGCGACGCGCCGCTTGCGCCGGGGGACAACGCCCGCGTTCCGCACACTTTTTCCGACCGCGCCCCGCGACGCCAGTCGGACTCGCAGGACGCGCCGCCAGTGGCGTCGCCGCGGGGCTCTCGCCGCGCACCGCCGCCGCGGGGCGCTCGCGCGAGCACCCGCTCGGCTGGCCCAGCCGCCCGCTTCGCGGCCGCTCCGCCGCCGCGCGGCTCCGGCAGCGACCCCGCTTGCGACCTCGCTTCCGGAGCTCGCGACCCGCCCACGGTCACCGGCTCGGCGAGCTCCGGGAGCTTGCCGGTTGGCGCATTCTCGGCGCGGGGCGCCAGGATCAGCATGGGCCCTCCTGCTCGCGCCGCCAGTGCGCCACCAGCATTACGCGTCGACGGTGCACTCATGCGGGTTCCTGCGGATCGATTGCGGCCGAACGCGCTTGCGCGCATACCCGCGGCCTCGGGGCCCGCCGCCGCCTCCCTCGCCATGCTTGAGGCCGCGCCCCGTGCCGGGGCCAGTCCGAGGTCTCTTGGCCCCGCGGCCGCGCCTCGCGCCGCACTTCTGTCGGTGGACTCGCCCGTTGATAGCGCGGATCTCCCCCAACCTAGCGGAGCCGCGCACGAGAAGGGCTCAGACGCGTTGGCGGCTGCGCCACACCTTCTCGACTCCTTGGAGCCCTCTGCGCGCGCGGCTCGAGGCCTGCCCCAAGACGGGGCGTGCGCTACCTCGGTTGCGATGCGCACCAGCCGAGTCGCTGGCCCAGCGGCCGCGGTTGCGCGGCGCGCGCGTGCCGACCGGCGCGCTCGCGCGCGATTCCTATCCTCGGTCGCCGCTGCCGAGGCCGCTCTCACCGAGGTTATGCTGGGAACAGGCGAAGAGACTGGCGAGAGCGCGGGAGAGCTGGCGAAGCGAATGCAGACGCTCTTAGCCGAGCTCGAGCGGCGCAAGGATGCGATGCGCATCGCCCGCTCTCGTCTTGCTGATTGCGTCAGAGAGGCCGCCTCCGCTGGATTCCCTGAGGCGGCGGCGTACTCGCCCTCGCCTGTGGCAGCGCCAACTGCCCTCGCGGAGGTGGACAGCGCCGCCGAGGCGGAGGCCAGGGTTGGTACGGGCTTGCACAGCGAGGCTGAGCCGGCGCGGCATCGCGACGAGAGTGCCACCCTTGCCTGGCCTCGGCGAGCCCCCCACCCCGCGCGCCGCCGCCGCCGCAGGGCGGCAGAGACGGAGCCTCCCAGCGCTCCCTGGTCAGGCGCTGTTCTGACTTCGGCCGGCGATCGGCGCAAAAGAGCTCTCTACGCGTTCGAATTGTGGTGCGCCGAGGACGCAGGGGTGGCGCCACTTCCGCTGTATCGTAGTGGGATCCTGCTGTCGAGGTTCCTCGCAACGTTCGGCGTGTGGCTGCACGACGCAGGTTTCCCGCTCAACATCCTGGTGCACGCGATCATAGGCGTCCAGGCACGTCTCCCTCATTGGAAGCCCTTTCTCACCGAGGCGTGGGGAGTGGCGAGGGCCTGGAAGCGGTCTCAGCCACCTCGCCTTCGGCCGCCAATGCCACGAGCGCTCTTGCGCGCTATGGTGGCAGTTTGTTTCACTTGGGACTGGCCAGTCATGGCCGCCTTGCTGCTGGCAGGGTTCACGATGTCCTTGAAGCCCGACGAGCTGCTGTCAGCCCGTCGCTGTGACCTTTTGTTGCCTTCGGATTGCCTTGAGTCCTCAGGCAACGCTTGGATGACCATTCCCGATCCAGTGAGCAGCATGTCTTACCCGCCACAGCACGCCTGGTGCTCTGACAAAGCGGTGGTTCGGGTTTTGGAGATGGTCTTTCGGCATTTGGGTCCCACCGATCCTCTGTCGACCTTTGGTCAAAGCGGCTTCCGTACTCGGTGGAACCATTTACTTTTGGCGTTAGGCGTACCGCTCGCCGAGACGCCAGCGGGGTTCCACTTGACCCCTGCTTGCCCCCGCGGCTCAGGCGCGACAGACTTTCATACGGCCACAGAAGATATTGGTCGTATCTTCTGGCGTAGTCGCTGGCGCCAGGCGTCTAGCGCGGAGCGCTTCTTGCACGACGATGCTTCCGCCGCGATGCTTTCCGCCTTGCCTGATGCCGCTCGGGCCCGTGTCACCTACTTCGATGGCGCGAGCGACTTCCTTGTCGCTTCCTTTCTGAACTGTGGCCCCACTGCGTGGCCCCTTCTGCTCGCGGCCGCCCGCCAAAACCTTGTCACTTCGCAAGGGCTTTGAGCCTGGGTATGGCTGCTACGGCCACCTGGCCGTCCAGATGGCCTCGTTGGACGAGGTCGTCTGAGGGCGCCGCGCGGCTTGGGCGCGGCGCCCCGTCATCCTTTACGGGTCGCCGCGCGCGCGCCGCGCGCCCGCCTCCGGGACCTGATCGCTTGCGCTGCGTGCGGGAGAATGCGCTTCTCTATTCTCCTTGCCGCTCGCGCCCGTTCAGGTCCTGCAGCTTCTCGGCCCCCTCCCCCCCTCCCCGCCTTACTCAGGCAGGCCTGCGGCGCTGCTACGGCCACCTGGCCGTCCAGATGGCCTCGTTGGACGAGGTCGTCTGAGGGCGCCGCACGGCTTGGGCGCGGCGCCCCGTCATCCTTTACGGGTCGCCGCGCGCGCGCCGCGCGCCCGCCTCCGGGACCTGATCGCTTGCGCTGCGTGCGGGAGAATGCAACTCCTGAGAGGTTAGATTCAACATCGTCGCTAGTATATCCATGCGCGAAAACCGGCCCAATCTGGAATGAATAATCCCGTCGAGTTGTCTTCAATCTTCTTAACAGTATTAATCGGCCTCACTCCTGGGCTTAACCCGGTTTACTCAGCTGAATGGACCTTGTATTGGGTTGCTTAATCCAGCTGGTTTAGCTTTGAATCGTCCTTACGCAGACCTCACAAGAGTTGCCTCCGAACCTCTGGCACCCCCCAGCGCCAGGCCTGGCAGGAGGCGCAGCCGCGGAGCTGCTCCTGCCCCCCGCCGATCGGCACCCGCCCGTGCGCGGCCCTGCTGGCGGAGCGCCGGCGTTTCGCGCGCGCGCGGGGCGCGCCGCGGGGGCCGTCGATCAGGGGCAGCGCCAGGCCCAGACCCCCTCGCGTTGCGAAAAAACAATCGCGACAGGTGGCTGTTTCTCTATGTCCCCTTCCCCCCTCTGTCAATGAAAGCTGTGCGCGGCCCGCTTCGCTGCGACCGGAGGAGGTGCGCTCTCGACCCGCGGATCAGAACAAATTCGTTAGGTTCGGCCTCCGGGGTCCCTTGCAGGGCCACGGAACCGTCACGAAACGACTCGGGAGGAAAAGCCTGTCCCGGGGAAGGGGTCGGCGTTGCGAAAAAAAACGCCCCCTCAACGCTGATCGTCGAGGGAACGCCAGTATGGATCGAGGCCCGTGAATTCGCGACGCACGCCGCTTCCATACGACATCGGCGCGCACGGTCGCCAACCGAGGCGTGCACTGGCCCCGCATGTCGGAGGTGCCTTCACCGATCCATGCGTCTGGCGCCCACGCACCGGATCCACGGACCAGTAAGCCATGTTCGCGCGCGCCCGCCCGACGGCCCACCCCGTCCAGGACCGTACGGATTCGACATCGGGGTCCTATTGTTAAGTCGGGCCTGTCCCCCTAAGGGGGATTTTCAACGAAAAATGAAACATATCCCAAAATCCAAAAATAGTCTGGGGACTATTTGTAAGTATTTTTTGACATTGTTGGAGTATTTTTTGGGGTATTTGTAATTTTTCATTGGGAATCCCCCTGTAGGGGGACAGGCCCGAACTGATCCTATCGCCGATCCATCGGCGATGCATCGCGGATTCCAAGGCGATGTTTCCCCGCCCCCCCCCCTTCCAGCCCCCCCCTAAACGTGAACCCGCAGTCGAGGTCCTCTCTGCGCGCGGCCGCTCCCGGCACGGTTGGGACAGCAGGAGGCCAGATGCGCGTGATGTGGCCAGCTTGGGCGAGCGTCGGGCCCAGATCCTCAGCGAGCGGTTCCTTGCAGTCCTGGCGCGTCTCCTCGATCTGGGCGCCGGGGGCCCCTTCTTTTATCGGGCCCCTGGGCCATCCAAAATGATCCCAGGGCGAAGCGTTGGCCCCGAGCGAGGGGTCGGGACCTCCGAGGCCAAGAATGGATGGGGAAAGGAAAGAACAGACCGTTGCATGTCTGGGGTCCTTCCACGGTTTTGCACGCTCGGCATCCACTTGTATGAAGCGCGTGGCTTCTGGATGCTGCACGCGTCAACCTGGCCACGTGCGTTTTCCCAGCTTCTTGGCATGCGCAAGCGCTGCTCTCGCCCGAATGGCCTTCGGAGGGGGCCCGCATGGGTCCCCCAGCACTGGCCTGCTCGATTGGATTTGGCCCTCATCGAGGGGGCGCACCAAAAGGTCATTACTGCATTGGGTCCCTCTTGGGTGTGGCCGATTGGTGGCGTTGGCTGGGCGGCAGGACAGAGCTCGCACTCGACCCGGTCGACTTGACCATCGGCGCCCGAGGAGGATCGAAGTGCGGACGTTCGCGGCGTGGATTGGACTCCCGGGGGCGCGCTCGCCGCCACGGCCGGATTCGGCTCGAGATGCTGACCTTCTAGCGCGCGCTGCAGGAGGGCTGCGGGGGGATTGGGGGACCGCATGCGAACCCTACCCCTACCCCCCGATTTCTGAGGGGGAGGCTGGGGTTCACTTCGCTTGGGAGCTCCCGAACGCAGTGAACCCCACCCTCCCCCTCAGAAATTGTGGGGAATAGGGGAAGGACTCGCACGTGGCCCCCTGGAGGGGGGCCGGAGGGACTTGGAGGTCTCCAGGGCGTAGCGTTGAGGTTCGACCGGGGAGTTGTGACAAGAATGGCGCCCTTGGCAGCGGAGGACTCTTATCAGTGTTCTCCACCACCCACCAAGCCCCAGGGGCGACGCGCGCACCGTGGCTCTTGTGGCAGTCGATTAATGGAGAGGGAGCATGCTGCCGAATACTTTCCAGATGTGCAAAAGATGTGTCAACAATGTTTTCATGATTTTTTTGGAAACAGAAAACATGACACCGATTACATGGTTCCAACATTTTGAACACATCTTGAATTCAATGGTAGGATTGCTAGAGTGTCCATTGTCATGGCATCCACAGTTCTAGAGAACCATGGCTAACCAACTCGCGGGGATGCCATCCGTGACGACCAGCAGCCACGAGCCACGACCAGAAGCCAGAGACCGCGGGCTACGGATCCGCCCTCCTCTCCCTTCTTCCCCTCCTCCTCCTCTTCCCCCTCGTCCTCCTCCTTTTCTTGTTATTGTTCCTCCTTCTCCTCCTCCTCACCTTCCCCACCCCCTCCTCTTCCTCGCCCTCCTGACCCCCGTCCTCTGCGCTGCCGTTCTTAGAACATGTCCACAGGACCCTTGCAGACAAGCTGTTCAGGGAATGATAGGGGGCGTGCGCATCTCTTCCGTTTCGGACTTGGGGCACCCTCACGGACCGATCCAGCTCCAGAAATGCCTCAGAGGTTCGGTCGCGGTTTCTTTTGCGACGCTCTGCCTTTGGCGTCGGATCTCGGGACCTCCCGTGCCACCCCGCTCCCTGCAGGGTTGGGCGCCTCTTCCCCCCATCCCCTCCGTCTGTTCACCCCGCACTCCTTGCCGTCCTTGCATCCGCACGCCCGGCTCGCTGTCCCCAGACCCCCGACGTCATGATTTGTTCATGACGTGGGCCCCCAGAGGGAGGAGGAGAAGGAGGAGGAGGAGGAGGAGGAGGAGGAGGAGGAGGAGCAGGAGGACCCCCAGAGGTTTGGACCCCTCTGCTGGGGACCAGCTCTTCGTCCCGAGTCTTCTCTGACTGTCCCAGGGCCGAGAGGGGGCACCCAGCGGCAGAACAGATCCCAAACATGCATCCGCCATGATCTGTTTCACGACGCGAGGGGGGGTCTGCGTCCCACGCCTCCTCTCTCTCTCTCTTTGTCTCTCTCTCTCTCTCTCGCTCTCTCTCTCTCGCTCTCTCATTCTCTAATTCTCTCTCTCTCTCTCTCTCTCTCTTTCTTATACACATAGATAGAAGCTTACGTTAAACACGCACGTTCCTCTCTGGCTCCCCTCATCTGCATGCCGTTCGCCCTTTCAAACAATGAATTGCTAAACGACAGACATATGCTCATACATACCGATATCAATGCACGCATTATATGTACACACGTGCTTACGTGCATGTATCCATGAATGTATTATATAGATACACAGGTTGTCTTATGAGTTGTACACATGTGTATATACGTTTGCTGGTATGTGTGTAAATGCAGTTGTGAATATCAGTGCATACATATATATATGTATATATCTGTTCGTTTTTATATATATATATGTACATACATGCTTATAAACACACATCTGTGTACTACATATACCTCCCGCTCATGTCCACTCTCTGGTTTGGTTTGCTGCAGGATGGGAAGCCAATGCAACCAGCGACCCGTCCTCCTCCTCCTCCTCCTCCTCCTCCTCCTCCTCCTCCTCCTCCTCCCTCCTCCTCCCTCTCATCTTCCTCCTCCTCCTCCACCTCCTCCTCCTCCTCCTCCTCCTCCTCTTCCTCCTCCTCCTCCTCCTCCTGCTCCTCCTCCTCCTCCTCCTTCCATCCTCCTCCCATCTTCCTCCTCCTCCTCCTCCGCCTCCTCCTCCTTCCATCCTCCTCCTCCTTTCATCCTCCTCCTCCTCCTCCTCCTTCTCCTCCTCCTCCTCCTCCTCGCCCCGACGCGACATCCTCGGAGGCCAGGGGCCCCGCGCTCAAACACCGCCCCGAGCCGGAGCGGGGCTGCTGGGCGGGCCTGGTGCCCGGCGGCCGCATCCCGCAGCAGGACACGGGCGTCGCCGATGGGGGGGAGGGGTCGGGGGCGGCCCGGAGGGGGGTGGTGATTAGAGTTTTGGGCGTGGCGTAATGGGGGGATCGTAAATGGGGGGGTGGCGAGGGTGGTCCGGAAAGGTACCCAAACGGTACCTAAACGAGCCCCCTGGGGCTCCAGAGGGGCCCGAAGGGGGCTCCAGAGGGGCTCCGGAGGGGCCCGAAGGGGGCGGCCCGGAGGGGGGGGGTGATTAGATCGGCTAGACGTAAGAGTGACCTTTCGCCGGGGTGACCTTTGGTGCGGGCACAGATGGGTCTCCAGATGGCTGAAAACGAAGCAGGAGCAGCGGCTTGCGCGCCCAAGTTTGTTCCCCCCTGGCCCCCAGAAAGCCGCGCACCAAAGGTCACTCTTACCCAGGGTCACTCTTACGTGTAGCCGATTAGAGTTGTGGAAGTCGATTAATGGAGAGGAGCTATGCTGCCAGATACTTTCCAGATGTCCAGACAATGTGTCAAACATGCTTGAAAGATGTTAAAACATGTCTGGAACGTTGTTGGAACATGTTTTACATATGAAAGACACATGTAACGTTCACTTATAGGACTGTTCGAGTGTCCATTGTCGTGGCATTCACAAGATTAGCGAATGGGGGATTGTGGAGCCTCTCGGGGTCCAAGGCGCGCGCGCGAGGCTTTCACACGGAGTTCGCGCGCGTGGCTTTCGATGCTCTGTGCGCTCTGTGGCGTCCTCCTCTTCGTTTTTCTCTCCCTCCTTCGTCCCCCCTCCTCTCCCCACTCCCCTCCCTCTCCCCTGCTCCTCTCCCCTACTCCTCTCCCCGGCCTGGATATCATGGCCAGGGCCATGATATCTCCTCAAACTTCCCGCCGCCTGTTCTCAGTTCGATGCGTCCTCTGGGCCCCCCCCCCCCACCCTGGGCCGCGCACGTGCCTCGGGCCACGACTTTTGCGCCCCCCCCTCTTGGGCGCGCCCCTCTGGGGCGCCCCCGAGGGGGGGGGGCGTCGCGGCGGGCCGGCCGAGGCGTCTGGCCCTCCGCTCGGGGCTCAGGAGACGGGGGGCGATGCAAACGGGGGTCCTCCAGGGCGCGGGACCTTGCAGGATCCTGCAGGAGCCAGGGGTGCACTGACCCAGGCTGGGGCGCAGAATGCTGCAGGCTCCTCCGGGATGTTGAAGGGTCTTGCAAGGCCCGACTGGCCCGGGGCTGGATCGACCCGGGTCCGTAGATCCCCGAGGGGGTCGCGGCGGCCTTCCTCGGCGAGTGACCTCCCGCCGGAGTGACC